AGCCCTGGGAGCTGGGCAGGCGCTCGGGCGCCGGGATGCTGTCCCTCGCTCTGCTTGCTCCCGGCTGCGACCTCCCTCCCGGCCTTTTCCCCAGTGGGCTGCTGAGGCCTGCTCTCGAGGGTCAGCGTGAGCCTTCTGCTCGCTCACACGGGCTGGGGCAAAACCTCGGAGTGCAGGTGCTGGGGCCTCACGTCAGGCCTCCGAGAAGGAGGTGCGGACGCCCTTCCGCCTCCTCTGCTCCCTCCTGGGGAACCCGTTGGGAACAAGGCGCGGACCTGCCTCTCAGGGTCCGAGCTCACCTGTCACAGCGGCCGGGCGTGGGCAGGCCTGGGTCCCCATGTTCCCTGGGGGCCTGCAGGCTGTCCTGGGAGCAGATCTGGGCTTGGTCCTGGTTGGCAGGCCCTCCGCCCCCTCTGTGGACACACAGTGGGGTCTGATGTGATGGCTGGCGAGGCCGCCGGGCAGCTGAGCGCGGTGTGAGGCCCTGGCGCCTGGCTCAGAGCTGGTGTCTGTCTGTCGCCTGCCCTCCCCCACGTTTCCTGTTCTCCAGGTGAGTCTGTCAGCTGGATGGGCAGCGCCTGCTCTCCCCTGGGCCATGTCCATGGCCAGCTGCTGGGTGGGTGAGAGCGGGCACAGAGGGGCCCCCCGGACCCAGTCCACAGCCGTGCATGGGCCTGACCTGGGAGGACTTGCTGCTGAGGGACCATCCGTGTCCGTGTCCCAGAGGCTCCCTCGCGCGTGCCCCTGTGCGCGGACGGTGCCGAGGGGACGCCTCTGCTGGGTCCCTGTGTCCCTAAGCTCGGCTGGGGCTGTGAGGGTCTGGCCTCAGCGGATGGGCACTCCAGGCTCCTGGGAGAGAGGAGATGTGGAGGTTGAGGTGATCTGGCTCCCTGTGCTGCCACCTCATCGTCCCTGGGCTCTGAGCACCGCTGCCCACATGCCTGGCACATGTTCCACCCCCACTCGCTCACATTTACCCACACTCACCACTCATTCCCCCCCCCACGCTCACACTCACACCCACACACACACATTTTCCCACACTCACCACTCATTCCCACCCCTGCCCCCATGCTCACACACACACACACACACGCTCACATTTACCCATACTCGCCACTCATTCCTACCCCGCCCCCATGCTCACACACACACACACACACGCTCACATTTACCCATACTCGCCACTCATTCCTACCCCGCCCCCATGCTCACACACACACACACACACGCTCACATTTACCCATACTCGCCACTCATTCCTACCCCGCCCCCATGCTCACACACACACACACACACGCTCACATTTACCCATACTCGCCACTCATTCCTACCCCGCCCCCATGCTCACACACACACACACACACGCTCACATTTACCCATACTCGCCACTCATTCCTACCCCGCCCCCATGCTCACACACACACACACACACGCTCACATTTACCCATACTCGCCACTCATTCCTACCCCGCCCCCATGCTCACACACACACACACACACGCTCACATTTACCCATACTCGCCACTCATTCCTACCCCGCCCCCATGCTCACACACACACACACACACGCTCACATTTACCCATACTCGCCACTCATTCCTACCCCGCCCCCATGCTCACACACACACACACACACGCTCACATTTACCCATACTCGCCACTCATTCCTACCCCGCCCCCATGCTCACACACACACACACACACGCTCACATTTACCCATACTCGCCACTCATTCCTACCCCGCCCCCATGCTCACACACACACACACACACGCTCACATTTACCCATACTCGCCACTCATTCCTACCCCGCCCCCATGCTCACACACACACACACACACGCTCACATTTACCCACACTCGCCACTCATTCCCACCCCCACACTCACACTTACCCACGCTCACATTTACCCACACTCACCACTCCTTCCCACCCCCACGCTCACACTCACACACGCTCACATTCACCCACACTCCCCACTCATTCCCACCCCCACGCTCACACTCACACACGCTCACATTCACCCACACTCCCCACTCATTCCCACCCCCACGCTCACACTCACACACGCTCACATTCACCCACACTCCCCACTCATTCCCACCCCCACGCTCACACTCACACACGCTCACATTCACCCACACTCCCCACTCATTCCCACCCCCACGCTCACACTCACACACGCTCACATTCACCCACACTCCCCACTCATTCCCACCCCCACGCTCACACTCACACACGCTCACATTCACCCACACTCCCCACTCATTCCCACCCCCACGCTCACACTCACACACGCTCACATTCACCCACACTCCCCACTCATTCCCACCCCCACGCTCACACTCACACACGCTCACATTCACCCACACTCCCCACTCATTCCCACCCCCACGCTCACACTCACACACGCTCACATTCACCCACACTCCCCACTCATTCCCACCCCCACGCTCACACTCACACACGCTCACATTTACCCACACTCACCACTCATTCCCACCCCCACACTCACACTCACACACGCTCACATTTACCCACATTCACCACTCATTCCCACCCCACACGCTCACACGTTCACATTTATTTCCACACACGACTAACTCACACACACACATGTTCACATTTATGCCCCCATACCACTCTTTCACGCCCTCATGCTCTCACACCCACTCACATACTCATTCACAAACTTACACACGAGGTCACACTGATTCGCACACTTGCTTGCACACACACCTGTGTGCACCCAGGGCCTAGCGGCAGGTGATTGCTGTAAGCTCCTCACACACACGTCTGTGGACTAGCCTTCAGGAGGGAGGAGCCCCGGGCCTCCTGGGGAGCCACCCTGCAGGGCGACGGGGGAAGGAGATGTTGGTTTTCCTATTGGCTTGGGGAAGCTTCCAGAAAGGCACTTGGAAATGGCTGGAGTCACACCCAAGGGCAAGGGCTAGGATGGAGCTGTTTGCCCTGGAAGGGAAGGGTCAGGGTGACTTAGAGCTGGGCTGAGGGCCTTGGGGTGGGCTGCCTGGACGGCAGGCACAGGGCCCGGAGACACCGTGGTCAGGCCTATGACCACCGCTCTGCTCCCTCTTAAGGCAGGTGCACCAGCCCTGCCAGCGGCCACAGCTGGAGGGGAGACTCTGCTCTTACAGGGCGGGGTGCCAGGGGCGGGGGTGCCAGGCGGCCCCCGGGGAAAGGCTTCTCGTGGTCCAGCCATCACGGGCTTGCACTGGAGCCTCGCAGATCTGCCGGATGCTCTCTCTCAACTTCTCTTTTACCCCAAGGTCGCGGTGACCTCTGACGGAAGTGTGCCTGGCCTCCTGCCTGGATGCGCACCGCAGCCTGCTGACCGATGCGCTCACGCGTGTGTCCGTGTCTTAGGCGCTCTGGCCCTCACCTTGTTCTGTTCTGTCTCTTGCATGTGCAGTTGTGTAAGGCACACGCGGGGTGCTGTGTCTCGCAGCTCATCTGTCTCCAGCGTGAACTCGTGAGTCGCTCTGCCACGACCCTGCCCGGCTTCATGATAACCACACGCCAATGCCTGCCCCCCAACTCTGCTCCCCTTGGTCATCCGCTTTGGGGGCAGCTCCACAGCCGTCTGCAGCCTAGCGGGCAGTGGGCACACTTCCTGATGCCCCATTCCGCCCCTCCTCCGCCCCTCCTGGTGTATGTCCTCTTGTCTGCTGTCTGTGTGCCGTCACTCAGGGTCTCGGGTCTCTTTGTCCCATGAGGTCGAGTTCTGTCAGTGCTCACGGGGACACTCGTGGGTCCTCCCACATCCTTGTAGCAAGAGCAGGGCTGCCTCCAGCTGTGAGGCTCACCTGGGACCGGCCGGAGCCGAGGGAGAGCCACGGAGACCAGGCGGTGGGCTGGGGGTCACCCCGGGGCCTCCTCCTTAGGGTGGGGTCAGGCCATGCAGTGAGGGGTCTGAGTTGCCAGTACAGTCACACCACCTGCACAGAGGCGGCCAGGTGCCTCCTCCGCTTCTGGCGGTGGGAACTGCTGCGAGCCCTGAACCCCGCTCCCTGCCCAGCCAGCACCGCTGGGCTGTCTCCCACAAGCACGCAGGCGGCAGGCTGCTGTCCCGCGGGTAGGAGAGCAGGTCCCGCTGGCTGGCTCGCAGTGGAGAGCAGTGAAGGGACGGGTGCAGGTGGCACACCGGGGCCGCTGCGCACTCCCAGCCCAGAAACTGCAAAGCAGGGTCCCCAGCACAGAGGCCCGCACGGCGTCTGGGGCGGGCTGTGCCTGCAAGCCCACCAGGACACTGGGGAGCAGCCCCTCCGTGTGACCCCTAAAGAGCCCTTTCCCGGCAGGACTTGGCCGCGGCTGGACTCCAGCACACGGGCCTGCAGTTCAGAGGGCAGCTGGCCCTGCGTGCCCGTTCCTGCGTGGCCTGTGAACTCGGCAGGATGCAGAGGGGGGCCGCATGGGTGCGGGTGCAGCTGCTGACGGGCGCTAGAGGGAGGAGAGCGCACACAGACTCCTGAGAGGAGGGCGGTGGCGGCAGGTGGCACCGCAGGCAATGGGTGGCCTGGAGCTAGAGGCAGAGATGGCAGAACGGCCAGCAGAGCAGGGCCGGCTGCCCAGGTAGCTGTGAGGGGGCCGGCGCCCCCTGGTGTCTTACAGTCAGCCCAGTCAGTCCATCTCAAGCTGGATCCTGGGGGACAGGCCGCAGAAGTGGGGGCACAGCCAGTCCCGCCTGCCAGGAGGCACGGCCCCACCTCATTGTCTGTCTGTGCCCTGTGCGCAGAGCGCTGGGCGGCCGCCACCCTGCGGCCAATGGCGTAGCCTCCAGGCCCATCTCGGTGCTGGACGACCAGGGGCCTGAGGCACGCCCCACCTGGCGGCCCTCCATCACACGGGTCTGCAGTTTTCAGAATCCCCGGGCTCTGTGGCGGGCGGGTGGCGGGGGGGCAGGTCCCGTGTGGCTCAAGGTTGGAGCTAAAGAGAGAAGGTGGGCTTGTCGCAAGGTGACCAGGGGCAGGGCAGCCTGGCTTCCCAGGTCAGAGGGCAGGTCAGGTGGGGCGGCAGGTGAAGGGTGCGTCCACAGGTGGCCAGAGAGGTCAACACTTACCCCTACATTGCTCCGCCTCCCCCGTCAGGCCCCAGGTGAGGGGCAGGCACTGTGCTCTCTGCCCCGGAAATGGTCCCGCACGCACGCACGGGGGCCTGGTCTCGGCCTTCAGTCCGGACAGCCACCACCTCTCTGCAGTCCCCGTGGGGCCAGTGCCCAGGGCCCCGAGCTTGTGGTGGGCTGGCCAGGGCCCCTCAGGCTGTGGCCCTAGGTGTGGTCAGTGCGGTTGGGGTTGGGCCAAGGCCCCCCATTTTCTCTAGATCCCCTATCCTCTTGATCCTTGCGTGTGTCCGATCCTGGCTCCGTCCGTGACTTGCTGTGGGACCCTGTGGGTTGTGCCCTCTGGCTGGGTCCTCACCGGTGAGTGGGATACCCTGACCTGAGGTAGTTGGGAGGGGAGCTGAGGGTGCACTGGAGCCCAGAGCACAGTATGGCTGCTGATGGACACACACACGCCCAGTCCCATTGGCCTCGGGCTGCGGGGGCCACCACCACGGTGGCCGGGCCACCTCAGGGTAGGAGGAGCGAGACTGAGCTCAGAGGCCATGTGGGCTCGGCCGTCTTTGGGGGGGGCGGGGGGGAGAGGTG